TGCCAGCTGTTAAGTAGCATCTGGGTGTGTTTAGGTGCGTCGGGTCCTTTCCCGGCCTAGTCTTGGGGATGGCTCCTGGCTGGACTGCCCCCTGACAGTTCTCTCCTGTGTCTGCCCCCTGCTTCACATGCCATGGCTTCCTCACTCACGGTTATGTCCTGGGTTTTGTTGGTGCGCATCCTCTAGTGTTCACTTGAGAAAGGTACAGAGAGGGTAACTTTTTAGAGACACTGCATTTCTAAAAATGTCCTTTTCTACCTTCACTCACACTTTTCTGGTAGTTGTTGGCTGAAGTCTAGAATTCTATGTTGTAGAACGTTTCTCTTAGGAATTCTGAAGTCAGTATTCTATTATCATCTAGATTTTGGTGTTGCTCTTGAAAAGGTCCAACCCATTCTGATTTCTGATTCTTTTTCCCTTTGTTGTGGTGACTTGTATTTTACTTTTTGGAAGTTCCTTCCTTCCTTCCCCTCTCCCTCCCTCCTTCCCACCCTCCCTCTTCTGGCATCTGATTCTGCTAAAACCTCACCACAAACCTTTCCCAAATCTTTTCAGTGAACGTAATCTTTTCCTCTTCTGAACTCACAAAGCATTTTTATGTTTAGTTTTCTTATGACTCATGGTCTGCTCTTTTTAACTCTTTGTTTTATCTGATAAATTTAAATTTCTCACAGTAGGTAATGATTGTCAGTGCTTCACACATAGTAAATACTCAGTCCTTTTGGATCAACGTGAAGTTTCTAGTCTTAACGTTCACAAGTATATTTTCTCATTTGAAGATATGACAGGATATAGACCATTGCTGTATGCCATGGTTAATGCAAGAGTAGGGTACTGTTTCTATTTGTAGATGCTTTTCTTGAAACTTGCATGGGCATAAAATATGCAGTGCTTGTGTGTTACCCAGGTCATCACTAGCAAAAGCTCAGTATCTTGTTGTACAGTGTGACAGTGCTCTTTATGGAGTGTGAGAGATTTCTTGAAATTTGGATAGGAGTCAGTCTTTCATTAGGACTTTTCCTGCCCTGTATTCTCTTCCTGTGTCCTGGGATAGGGTGGATATCAGCATTCTTTGCAACTTGCATCTTATCATATCTCTGTGCTTTCATTCTAGCTGGTCATAGAAATGTTCCCTCCATCTTTTTTCCCAGTCATCTTGGGGGAGAAGCAGTGATTCTGTGTGTGGTTTTGCCTCCCAGTTTCTTCTCTGGGCTTGGATCCATCCTGGGGAGCCTTGTCTGGAGGGGACATTTGCTTCTTGGTAGCCCTCTCTCCAGCCACTTGTTGGACGAACCTTGTCTCTCGTTTCTTGCTCATGTGTGATGGATTTTTGTTCATCATACTGTAAACTTATTATTAGTGTTTAAATATTTGGTTATTTTATATGTACATACCATAAGTGAAACTTTAAAAAAAAAAATCGAGTGTTGTGTCATGTTTGTCTTTTAACCCAATGACAGGTCTACAGATTGTAGAATTAATGTTTTTGGTATATTTAAAAGTGGCTTATCACAGCTTTCTGTTCAGGTACATTTCTAAGTTTCTACAGCCAGGACAGCAATGATTTCTGTTATTATTTCAAACTTAGTGTAGACTGACACAAAGTGGAATCAATGAATATGGTCTAAATTTTTTAGAAGTTTTCCCTCACAGGTACTTTGACTGTTCCTTGAAAACACAGCGAGTGCTCTGGGTATCGAGAGAGAATCGTGTGCATGAAGGCTGTCAGTTAAAATCTCCTGAGAGACTACTCTTCCAGAGTTGTATTTCTCAGTGGCAAAAAGCCTCCTTCCTGGTTTTCACACTCTTGCGGGAGGAGGTCATTTTCACGTGCGCCGCTCAGATCTGAGTTTTTAGTGTGCTGTGCTCTCTTGAGATGATGACTGATGATTCCCTCTTGGTGCCTTCTCTCCAAATGGTCGTTTCCATTCAGCACATGGTATGGAGTGACATTTAATAAGCACCAGCCTGATGAATGCCTTGATATGGTATTGTCAGGGCTACTTGGCATAGCTGACTGTTGAATTAGGACCTCTCTGGAGGCAGAAGTCAACAACTGAATCTCAGAATTAGACAAGCCTTGATCAGATCGTTGAAGGATGATGAGCCAGGTTTGCAGAGTGTTTCAAGGAGGAGGGAGTGACCAGCGGCATCGTATTCTGCTGATAGACCAAGGAAGATGGGTCTGGAGAACTCCTTTAGCAACATGGAGGCTGTCGGTGACCTTGACGGACAGTTTTGGAACCATGGTGGGGAGGAAGCCTGATTGGAACAGGGTCATGGGAGAAGAATCTGAGACGACAGATCTTTAAAAAGTTTTGCTGTCAAGAGGGTCGAGGTGTGGTAGCTCGAGGGCAAAGTATGGTCAACAGAAGATTTTGTACTATTATTTTAGCATTTGGAAAAGTACAGTATTAACAGCTTTTAAAGGCTCAAAGTTGACATCTGAGTACTATTTTCCGTACTGTTATGGCTTTTAAAAAATTTTATTGAAGTATAGTTGTGTTGTGTTAATTTTTGCTGTACAGCAAAGTGATTCAGTTATACACACACACACACACACATACACACATATATACATTCTTTTTAAAAAAATATTCTTTTCCATTACGGTTTATCATAGGATATTGAATACGGTTCCCTGTGCTGTACAGTTGGACCTTGTTGCTTATCCATCCTCTGTGTATTAGTTTGCATCATACCATTATGGTTTTTAGATACATTAACAGGCTGGAGATAGAGCTCTAACCTTCCTTGGGGTGTTCCGGTCAGGAGAAGCTCTTGGAGAAGGGGATGGCTGAGGAGTCTTGATGGATGGGAATGGTCAGCCTGGGGGGTAAGGTGGGTCCCTAGGCACTGGGCATGGGAGGAGGGGTGCAGTTATACAGGGCACAGTGCGGGCTGTGAGAGGGGAAGTGGTGGGAGAGAGGCTGGACTGTAGCAGGTTTTCAAGTACCAATTTAAGAGGTTGGGAAATCTTTAGGAGGGAATTTATTTCAAAAGAGTAGCTCCAAGTGTTAGAGAAAGGCAGTAGGTTGTGATCTCATGTGGAAAGAGTGCGGAGGATTAAGAGGCTTTCAGAATGTGTTTTATAAGCTGCGTTTTCGAGGTCAGCCTGCTTCTGTGTGCACAAAGTTGTTTTAGAAGTGAAAGCTGATATTTAGGTTGATTAGGTCATCCTGCAGCTTGCTTGGGGGAATCGGAGGGCAGGATGGATCAGTGGTAAGTGGCTGGGGGTGATGACTTTCTCTTTATGCGCCCCCAGGTTATTCATTTTCCCCCATTTCTCTTGGAGAGTTAATACCATTTGGTAAAGAAGAGTAGGAGTAGAGTTTGCTTCAGGACTTTGTTCTTCAGCAGCTCAGCAATTCCAGAGATGACAAATTCTGGAGCCTGGTTGGGCTCACAGCAGCAGGTTTCTTAAGAACTCTCTGGATGACATTGTAACCAGGGAATTACGCAGAGTAAGGACCAGTGAGTGAAGGGGATGCCAAGGGTGTGTGTGTGTGTGTGTGTGTGGTGCGTGTGGTGTGTGTGTGGTGTGTGATGTGTGTGTGTGGTGTGTGTGTGGTGTGGTGTGCATGTGTGCGTGTGGTGTGTGTGTGTTTTCTACAAGCTTACTCTCCGTGCTCTGGATGAACAGTTGATTTCAGCACTGAATCTATTAAAGAAATCTAGACATAAGGGTACAGAGGAACTCTGGGTAATTGGCATAGTAGTTATTATGATAATGTTTAATAACTTTGAGAATTAGGGTCTGGACTGCCTTCTGTGCTGGTTAGAAATGACAGGGATTGATAATTCTGCATTTTTTATGTGTTCCATTTTTTGTGATTCTTAGTCATGGCTCTCTTAAAGATGCCCTTGGAGGGCTTCAAGGGTATGGATTGCCTGACCCCACCCCTGGAAGGTCAGAGTCAGTAGATCTGAGTAGGGTCCAGAATCTGTACTTTAACTCTCATTAATCTTGTGCCTCCTCCATCCCAGACTTTCCTTTAAGAAAAAACTGTACCAAACATCACTGGTTAGGCTGGGAAAATGGAGTGTTACCTTGAATTGAACTTTTTATTAGTGATTCTGTGCTGTGGATGATTTAGTAGCTAACGGCAAAAGGTATAGTTTAGTATATTTTCATTTAAGCACACAAGAGAATGATTATAGAAATTTAAGAACAACTATGTTCTCTCTTCACATAACTTTAGAGCTTGATTTTATGTTACATTGTGTGTATATGTATGTGTGTGTATATATGTGTGTGCACATGCATGAACGTGCACACACACACACACCCCAGGTAGAAGTGTGTAACACTTAAAATGAAGCCTTTTTTCTTCCTTTTTTCTTCCTTCTCCCCAAGTCCCACCCCCAGGGATAAACATTGCAAATTTTGGTGTGCATCTTTGGAGACATTGCTGTATGCACACATACAAGTATATGTAACTTTGTCTTTACAGAAATAGACTCAAGCACACATGCTGTTCTGAGCTTGCTTTGTTCACTTGTGGTCTTAACATTCTTCTGTGTCAGTGTATTTTGACCTGTTTGTAGGGGTTACTTTGAGCCACTGAGGCAGGCAACCTCCTTTTCTTCAGATAAGCTGTGACATGAGCTTTTCAGACGCACAGTATACGTTGCTTGCTTATTAGAATATCTCAGTAGATTGGATTGGGAGGATTAATAAGTATTTCATATCGGACCATGGGAAACCCAGCATACTTCAGAGGAATTAATATTTCGTGTGCAGTGAGTTTTGCTCCTTTCTGCAGTTCCTGTTACAGTAGTGTGTTGGCGTCTGAGCCAAAGGGACGTGCATGCAGGAGTGACTCCATCATAAAAAAAAAGAAAATTGACTCAACCAAAGATAGGCAGCCACTTGAATTTTCAGTCAGTTGGGATATTCTTGATGACGTCGATTCCTTTTCATGGCAGGAGGTTATCCCCTTGTAAATTGTTGTGTTCCCTTTTGGTGATGCTAACTTTCTCTCTATTCTTTCATACAGGATCCAAACTACTGGATACAAGTGCATCGACTGGAACATGGAGATGGAGGAATTCTCGATCTCGATGACATCCTCTGTGATGTGGCGGATGATAAAGACAGAGTGAGTTTAAGTCAGGAAAGCGGCTCTGAGTGCATTCTGTGAAGGTGGGGGAGGGCATGGGTGGGAGGAACACTTTCCTTCCTGTTTCAGACACATGTATTTTAAAGGACATTTGGGCCACTCATACTGGTATGTTTGTTTTATAATAAGTATCATGAATCTTCCCAGGGTATAATGATTTTCTTGATATCTGGGACATAATACTAGGTTTTGAACTTTTAAAATTTCAGCGTTTTAAATGGAAATATCTTTAAGAGGTTTCCATGCCATCCCCCCCTTATTTTAACCAAATGTAACATCTTTCCCGACAACTCAGGCCCGTCATTATGCTCACTGTTTCCATGTGCGACATACAAGGTCTCTGTTCTGATCCCAGTGGCGGCCCATCCCAGCAGCTGGCGTGGCCCGGCTGCATCCCAGCATCCTCCCGGTGGGCTTGGCTTTCAGGAAGCCGCCCTTTCCTCCGTGGCTTCTCTTCGAGTGCTGTCACACTGCAACAGCATCTTCACTGTTGGCTGTGATGGAGGCATCACTGGCCTGTATCCACCCTCCTATCTGTCCTCCTTGAGGGAACGAGGCAGAGGAGTGACTCAGAACGTGTTAGGAATCTGTGGCAGGATGTTGGGCTCTGGCACAGGAGTCAGCAGATTCTTGATTGCTAGAATCCAACTTGAGCAGGCTGTGGCCACACCCCCTCGTATCTGACCTGCTGTGGGATGCCCGGAGGGCTGGCGGCCACATCCTTACCTGTTCGTCGCGGCCTGTGATAGCTCAGGGTGGGCTGCACAGCGAGGTGACTGCAGGGGTCGAGGAAGGTAAATCGCCCAGTGCCCACTCCTCTTCCTCCCGGGAGCTCTCCAACCGCTGGCCCCTTGCCTTGGGAGCTGTGGGCTGGGCTAGTGTGGCTGCTGTGCTTATTCATGCCTGCGTTCCTGACAGCGTAGTGCCTGGCTCAGAACCGGCCGATGTCTTACGTGTTTTCTCGAAATCTTAAGGAAAATGAAAAATTCCAGGGTACCAGGTATTGTGTAACGTCACGGATGTTTGATTCACTAGCCCCTGCTGTAGTGGGGTTTGTTCCCTGCAGCTACCATGGGCTGGGAGCATGTGGTGTCAAAAATGCAGAACTTTCCTGCCTGTCTGTGATTTGCTGCTGTTTCTCCTGGGGTCAGTTCTCCTTGTCAGGCTCTTCTGTGAGCCAGGAATAGGGTGGCTCTCAAATCCTTTTCCTGCAATCCACGTGAAGAGCATCCTCTAGAGACTTAAATTATAGTCATCTTATTGTGCAGCTCAGCTCCAGGGCTTAAACTACAGAAATTTATGAAGAATTTAAACAGGTTGCCCTTTCCCAGCCATAATGCTGGAAAGAGATGAGCTAATGTGTTGTATTGATCTTTTAATATTTTCTCTTCTCCCTTCCTCTTCCTTTTCTTTTTTTGGTTGTTTTTCTTCTATAAAATAATACAGCTTCTTACGAGGAAAAAGAAACATACAAAGAAGGAAATAGTCACCCGTGAACCCCTTGCTGCTTAAAGCTCATTACTGCCGTTACTTGAGTGGGCTTTGCATCCTGACGCTTTTTTCCTTCAGAGACAGACACACACTTTTTTCCTCTAAAATAAAAAGGATTGAGTAGTAGCCTGCTTTTTTGGAGTTGATTATAAATACATTTCCACATCCATTAACCATAGCTATGCCGACATAGCTGCACAGTATTTTCTTTTAGGGATTTATGTGCTCTTTCATTCATCCTGTTTTGGACTCTTGGATTTCTGTGGAGGAAGCTGAGTGGTCCTGGGTGTGTCTTTTGCACCCAGCAGCAGTGGTGAGCATTCCTGTTTCTCAACCTTTTTCCTTCCTTCCTTCCTTCCTTCCTAGTTGATTTACAGTGTATGTTAGACTCAGGTGTACAGCAAAGTGATTCAGTTATATACATATATTCTTTTTCAGATTCTTTTCCATTACAGGTTATTACAAGATAATGAAACCTGTTTCCTTTCTGATTGAACACAAATGTGGTTTTCCCCCAGATGGTGTATCCTATTTTATTCTTCAGCCCACATGGTATAGCTCTGGGCAGGTTCATGGAGCACAAGTAACACTACTCCCTGCACCCCCATCAGTGTTCGCACTCCAAACACAGTTCACATTTTGCGTATGTAGGGTATTGAGATGTAGATGTTCAGCCATAGGATTTTAAAAAGAGCTTTAAAACCATATTGGGACTTATTTTATGGCCTTTTTGTTGGGCATTTCATGTGTACTTGAAAATAACGTGGACTCTGCAGCTGTTGGATCTATAAAGATCAACCAGGTTAAGGGGTTTGATGTTCTTGTTTAAATTTGGGGGCAGTTTGTTACTCAGCAACCGAAAATAATACACTCTTCTTTCAGCACAACCATTAGATTGCACATAAAAACCAACGATAAAGGAAACTGTGTAATGTAAAACAGCTGCATATTGAAATCATAGGGTAAACAAACTATGTTTTAGATTTTATATTCTTATGTGAATTTGATGATAAATCTACATTTTCTGGAATCTTTTATTATATATCCTATGTAGGTTAAAAAAATCTTTTAACCTGAGAAAAAGGTTTTAAATATTAGTAAGTGAAATAAGTTTTCAGACAATTTTACGTCATGTAGATTAAATTCAGTTTCCAAATAGAAAAACGGTAGAGAGTACAAGGTACTGCTGACTAAAATAGTTTTTAAATCATTGTTTTATTTGTTCAGAAATATTTAAATATGTGTATGTGTATAATTAATTTAAATTTTTGAAGGAGCATCTTAAAGGACCCATGTTAAGTTATAACTGTGAAAATATAATTAATCCAGAATCCCAGCACCCAAATTCACCGGTGTTGTTGGATGCATTATTCAAAGTGAGGGATTGTGTGTAGTGAGTTGTATGGCTCTTTTCCATGGTTCTGCAACTTGATCCTGATTTAATCACCCTGGAGTGTTTTCAACTTTTCTTGGCAGTTTCTCTAGCTAAGGATCTTGACACCTATTTTGCTTTTAGGTTAGAAAAACATTCTTCTAAACAATAAAATTCCTCTTTAAAAACATGTCCTGTTTTAGGACACTCCTGGGCACCTGAATTTTATTCCCCACCCCACCCCAGGGTGCTATTTCTGCTCACAAACTGTGAAAACAAGGCTTCAGTGGCCCTGCCTTCCTGTCAGTCTCTGTAATGGGGAAAACTCTCTCAGAGATACAGATTTTGTACCTGGTCACTGAATTTGTAAAATTATGAAAAACGTTTTCTAATACAGGGAAATGAGGATTAAGAGGCAGTAATTCAAATGATCACGGAAGAAAATTGAAGTATCTATTTAGCTGTAGTTTTGCTCATTATCCTTTAGTTATTAGAGTTCAACGCACAGCACTGAGGAATTTTTCATTTAGTGCCTATACGATTCCAATTCTAGGGTTTACCCAAATGTATTCAAAATGGTGTTATTGTGGGTCGTCTTGTGTTCTTGGAGTAGGTTTGATTTTTCTGAGACGTGGAATATCCTAGGTCTCCTTTGGGCATGAAGACGTGCCCTGTTTGTTCGTCCCTTCTGGACATTGCTGCTTCCAGGCAGGGTTGTCATGCTGCTCTGTTTACTCTTAGGATCTGATTCTCAGTCTTCTCATTGACATTCCGCCAAATTGTGAAAAGCTGAAGTGGATTTCACGCCATCCCCAGCACCGTTTACAACAGCCGTAATGCGAGCCTTCCTGAGTGCTGTGCTGCGTTCTGTCTGAATTTCTTCCTGGTTTGCTCTTCATTATTTATAATTTACTACCAGTGAGCCTCTCTCAGTTCTCTGTCCCGCCGTCATTCCCTCTGTGAACTACAGTAAACTTAGTACATAGACGACAGAGTAAAAATCCTGGGCATTCGCTCACTTCTCCCTCCAGTCTGACACCTCCCACTGACCTTGGGTGGAAACAGGTTTCAGGGGGAAGTGACCAGCACTTAGAGTCGGCGGGGGTGGGGGGGGGGGGGGAAGGGTGCCTTTGGCAGGGGGAGGATCAGCAAGAAGAGTGTCTTTTTCTCACTCACACCATTGTCTTCTCTTTTATGTCTTTGGTGCTGAAGGTGATTTAAGATGTGGCATCAAGCATTTCCTCTGTCACACTGGGATGCCATTATGTTTTGACCTAGAATGATGTCATGTGTGTTCTGTTTTGGGGATGACCTTGGGAAATAATCTTCCAGTATCGGTGTCTTGCTTTTTGTACGAAGGGTTGGATGGGATAGCAATGTAAATTCTTTGAAGAGTTTGTGTGTTTAGAGTGGGGTCCAGGCACCGTGAAGGGTTGTTATAGAGAGACTGTTGATTGCTGCTTGTTGGAAAGGAGCCAGGATTCTCTGGGGGACAGTCTGGCCAGTGTTTTCAAGTAGAAGAATGTGGAGAAAAAGAAACTTTTAAAATGTATTAGGATTGTGGGCAAGCAGCAATTTCTACATGTCGTGAAAGCTAGCACAGAGGCATTTATGGAATAGACAAATGAAAGCTGCAACGTTGAATCAAAGCTGAGTGCCCCTCCCCCTGCTGGATAAAGGTTAGGTAGAGAATTTTTTCAAACCAGGGTGCCCGAATAATAATAATAATTTAAAAGATAGCACATATAATAATTTTCTTTGAAAGAAAAGACTTTTAATCTTTTTTTTTCTTTCAGTATTTTAAATTAATGTAACCTGTTTGCTGAGCACCTATTGTGTGCCAGGCATTGTGCTTAGTGCTGTGATACATTGTTGAATGAAAGTAGCCATGTTTCCTGCTCTACTGGGGCTTATGATCTATTGTGAGAGCCAGAATTTCTGATAGATAATGATTCTGATGAAAAGGAACGGTCCTGTGAAAGATGTGCCAAAGTTCAGGGTGAAGCAAGACTTGCCTTAAAAAAAAATGCGACCCAGCTGGAGTCTGAAGGACAGCCAGGTGAGAATGAGGGGGTGTTAGGTGATCAGATTTACATGTGAGAAATATCCCCAGCTG